TACATTTTATAAATCTCATGTATTGTACATTTTATAAATCTCATGTATCATCCTTAAATTACTACTGAATATCAGAAAAATGATTTTCAGTCATATCTGGTTTAAAGTATGACTTTACCACTACTTCTTTGGCATGGCTATGGTGTATATATTTTGTTAATAAAATAATTACATTAAAGTAGTAAAAAATATTTAATTGCCCCTCAAAATATGTTTATTTAGTTAGTTAAAAGCTTCACTGCATGCACTTACCCATGCTGCCCAGCCATCTCTGTCACTGGCTCGTTTTCTCCATCCACCTTGCTTCATAGTGAACCTTCTATTTGTAAAGGGGAAAAAGGGCATTTACTTTTGGCTTTGCTACTATAACACTTGATATTACACAGCCAGAAATAATTCATAGAAAATAAATTACAATTAACTATTCCAGAATTTTTTGAATACAGTACAGTGTTTCTACAAAATACTAATTTATAGTTTGCAAATTCTTTAAAAATTTGACTGAATACTTCTTCATTTCATAGTTAAATTAAGGTATATCTTAATGTTATATGTTGGTGTATTTTGTTGCTTAATTGTACTAAAATAGCAGCCAATACTGTGATACTTAGTGCTATGCCACACGATTGAACAACTAATGATATCAGGAGAAAAAAGGAGGCAAACTCAGAAACAGCACAGAATCCTACCCTTTTCAAAGTCTGTATCATATCTATGTGAGAATTAACTTAAGATAGCAATGCTGTTATTTCAAATAAATATTGCATGGATAAGAGTCAGGGACAGACAAGGTGGATGCCTTTTCCAATATCTTCAAACTTCCATCTGCAGATGGGATCTTGTGAAATACAAGCAGCAATTACATAACATCAATAGTCTGTTTCAATAAATTGTAAATATACAGACCCAGATAAAAGTATCACAAAATATATTTGGCATCTTAAAACTAATAAATATATTAAGATTTCGTGGATTGTACTTCATTGGTCTATATGCATCCTTATAAGGAAACACAGCTCAAGATAAAAAGTATAATGATTTATTGGAATACTTTGAATCCAAGTCTTCCATGTAACAAATTATATAGAAACTTTGTGTTTTAAAATTTTGGAATGTGTATTCATCATATAGCTGTAAAAAACTAGAAAGAACAACCAAAATCAAAGGCAGGGGATTAAATACCGCCCCCCTTTTATTAGTGTCTAAGCATTTTTCTAACTTTTCCTGCTCTTATGAAATGGAGTACAAGGCCAGATCAAGCTCATGCTTACTCCCAAATACTTTATATTTGGAACTCATACCTTTTAGGCTGGTCAAACAGCCTCAGAAGGCCAGTACTCTGTTAGCCTCAGATTTTCTTCAACATTCTGGAGATTAATAAAGAGACACACTATTGTATTTATCTTCAAGACTGGCAGAAAAAAAAAAGCCTGAGGCTTATTCCTTTTGACTAAGGGAAACATAAGATTCACTTTAACAAAAATAAGGTCAGACCTTTATTTCAGAATATATTATTGATTATATTCTCAAAATGACTTAAAGAAATCCAACCACACAATCATATGTATAATATCTACCAGGAAGGTAGATATTATATCTACACTGTTTCACTTGTGATTGCTGATAGAACACTCTGAAGACACAAAGAAGGCAAAATTCATTATAAATTAAAGTCCATGACTTTCAATACAAAGTTGGAAAATGGATCGATTATTACTGTCTCTGGGGGAATTGAAGAAAATAATTATACCAGTCCTGCCAGAACTTGCCTGTTTTTAATCCCTTATGATATAGTACTGTACAGGCATAAACATAAATTAAGAACATGGAAGAATTTCCCTCTCATTACTGTCATGTTGCTATCCTGAACTTTAAAATATCCTGAACAATTAAAGAGACTTAACATTATTTTTAAAATGTTTACAAATGGAAACCATTAATAATCTTACATCCAAAGTATGCATAGTTCTATAAGATACTAATTTAAGAGGTAAGAATGTGAAATTAGAACTTTTTCATTATAGCCTAAGATTTTCTTAATTTCTTGTGGAGAAAAAACCTCAAGTATCTAAGATAATTTAAAAACAAATATTTTTAACTTTATGATTGGCTTCCCATATAAACATCAATGTTTACCAAAATACAGAAATCATTTACTGCAATAGATAGACTTTCTATACCTAAATAACTGTCCCAATACATTATGCTATAGATTGCTGACAAGTACTGGAAAGAGATACATCATTGCATCATCTGAAACTAAGTTCCCTTTCATTCTCACTGATGCTTCTGAACTTTTTACTTGGAAAAGACGGGAGGGGAGAGTCAGATGGGCAACAATTGGACAGAATAATTTCTAGTTTTGTCTCAATTGGCTGGGAGGAAGTTCAGAGCAGTAAGTTTCAGACAGCATTATCTATACAAATCTTAGTTGCCCAAAAACTGTTCTCAAATTATCCTATTCTTTGTTCCTTAAAACAAATCAGATTTATTTTATTACAATTATAAATTAAACTCATTAAATATTTGTTTTTTTAAATGTCCCATGTATTCTTTTATTAATTTGCTTATGCTCAATCACAATGAACCATTAGCACAGATCTGCATTCTCCGAAATATTTGCTAACCTAACTCTAATTGTTTTTAACTATGCATTTGATATATGCACATTCTTCAAAAGGGGTACTTCAGAATGTGAAAGAGTGCATATGAAGTGCCAATTTCTAGATAATTAAAGCAGTTTAGCCCTTTTCCAGGCTCTGCGTAAATATGTATGTGGAAACAGCCAAGAGCAGCTTCTAGAGTACTATATAAACCTGTGAAATGATGCAGCTGCTTTAATCTTTATAAAACTTTCCCATACATTCTAATGGACTTCTTACAAAGGCTTTGCATAGTCCTATTGCATACTTTGCAAAACCCTCTGAAAGTGAATATAACTTTTAAGGATACAAAGCCTTATTTTATAAGTAAATCAACACATATAGGGGAGTAGCAATGATAAGCAAAACCCTCTAACAACATTTAATTTTAAAGAACCTGCCTATATCCAGTTTGGTCCAGTGGTTATCATTGCTATTCCCCTATATGCTTGGAAATTAATGCAGTGAATGGAGTCTTCCTTCTTGAATTAGCACAGATTAATTTGATAATCCAAAGAATTTTACTATGAAGTTCTTTATTGGACTGCTGAATAAATGTATCAAGATTTCTCAGGAAATAGTTATACAGAGGAACATAGAAAATATTTCCAATGTGCTTAGATATGCTTACAATAAACATTAAATATATAGGTAGTTCTATATATTTATACAACAGTTTGTTTGGTGAGTGAAAAAAGTGACATGACTATTTTTCCACTTATGACTGTTTGCAACATCCCCATGGTCACATGATTTACACTGAAATGCTTGACAACTGGTTCATATTTACAAAATCAAAATTCAGATATTTGGCAACTGACTCATATTCATGATGGTTGCAGTGTCTCGGGGTCATGTGACCATCTTTTGTGACAGGCAAAGTCAGATTCACTTAACAACCATGTTATTAATTTAACAACTGCAGTGATTCACTTTAAACTTAACAAATGTGGCAAGAAAAGTTGTAAAATGGGACAAACTCACTTAACAAATTTCTCACTTAGCAACATAAATTCTGGGCTCAATTGTGGTGGTTAAGTGTTTCAAAATCTTCTGCAATTATTTCAAATTGTTTAAAGTTTCCTTTAAGAAACTATCTTAATGCTGACTTGCCTGCACTAATAAAGTCCCAAACTGTTCATTAAATTAATAGATTACAGGATTATGGAAAAGAACAGGAAATATGTCATGTAAATTCTCCAAACACTATTCCTGTTAATTATCATCACTTAAAATTATTCCAAAGCCACAGAATAAAGAGATGTTCTGAGAAATTGGTTTCACCTTTTTGTTCTTAATCTTTTGACAAACGTAATTAGCGGGAACAATTTTTCCTTCACTTATAGTATTAAGGGGTTTCTTATATGCCAACTGGATGGCTCTTATTATACACAAAATGACATCCTGCGAAGAATAATCTGCTAAAGCAACCTTTAAAGAATTCTGGCTTTAAAAAAAAAAAGATTTTTTAAAAAGCATTTAAATCCTGTGATTTAACTTCCACCAATTTGGTCTAAAAGTCTTGTCAATTCCCTCCAGCCTTTTTTATTCTGAGCCTGGCGCTTATTTTTGCGGTGGTCTCACAAAACCTCCCGCCTCTAGCCAATACGAAATTTCCCTCAGCCTCATTAAAAAAACCGAACAGCTTCACTTCCTTTCTTGGCGCCCGGCAAGCAAACCGAAGTGCCCGTCGCCTATAATTCATAATGACGATGAATAATAGTAGCAAAAAGCAGACAGCTGGGGACAGCGAGGGGAAGAAAGCTACAGGCAGCGCCACGGGTTCGAGAACTGGGGGCTTGGCACGCACTGTCACCCAAAGCTAACGGCGGGGAGAGGCACCCCCCCTCTCCGCACGGGTCCGCAGTGCCTTCTGCCGCGGCCGCCTCGAGCAACTGGGTTCATGTCCCGCTGAGGGAGCGCTGGGTCTTGTATCTGGAGCGGCCCGGGTGATTGGCGCCGAAACGATACAACCTGTCGCCGGCGGGCGCGAGCAACAACTGCTTGACCCCGGGCGCAGTTGGTGATTTAAGCCGCTGCCCTGACAGAAACTGTGCGCCAAACGGGAGAGCCGCTTCGGGCCGGAACTGCCGCGGGCCTCCCCGGGGAGCGACTGGCTGGACCGCGCGGGAGGGAGTTGAAAGGAG